ACCCTTTTTCCTCCTCCTTCACCCACACCCGTCCACCATAGCCAACCACCTCCAACCCTTCTTCCTCCTCCTTCATTCACGCCCGTCCACCATAGCCGACCACCACCAACCCTTCTTCTTCCTCCATCACCCACACCCCTCCACCATAGTCGGTCACCATCAACCCTCCTTCCTCCTCCTTCACCCACGCCCGTCCTCCGGAAGTCTTAGGGGGCCGCAAGGGGGATGCACGGGACCTCGGATAGGATCGGTTAGGGTAAGTCAATTAGCAAGGTCGATTAGGAGGGGAAGCTTCATCTCTCTCTCTCTCTCTCTCTCTCCCCATTTTTTTCTCTCTCTCCTCCTCTCCCTCTCCCTCCGTCTTCCTCCATTCCTCCAAACCCCTAACTCTCCCGTCACCCCTTCCCCCTCGATGGCATGTGACTAACCTCTACCCTCACCTGTTACATTGTCAGGGAACGAACGGAAAGGAACTTAGTCCTCACTTGGTGGAAAGCGAGGGCAAGGATAGGGTTGCCGGTCCCTTGTGCCACCAAGAAGGAAAGGATACGGGACTATCGAGAGCATTTGCGAAAACAAAAAGGACTGCTGATTTTGGACAAGGTCAATTTGACTCAACCATCCTCCCGGAATGCATGACTGAGGCGATCGCGTGGCTTGCCTGTGGGAAAGGGAAGGGAACTCATAAGGGGAATTGGAAGGCAAAGGCAACTTAGGATTGCGGGAAGGGGGCAATGTGTTGACCCCAATGGGGACTGTACTTGGTCATTTGTCTCGTGTGGTCTTGCGCAAGTGAGTGGCTAGGGACGATTTGGACGGGGCTGGATCCGCGGATGAGGACTAGGGTGGGAGATTGGCTAAGGAAAGGACTTGGATCCGGCTCAAGCCATGAATGCGGGATGAGTTGAGGCCGGGCGCCAGGGTGGATGGTTGATGCATGGACTTGGCTTGTGTGGAGGTTGCATGGAATGTCTCTCTCATGTGCGATGCGATCCCTGAAAAGACCAGGGGCGGTCTTGGATAGGTGATGCGATGCTAGTGGCTCTCGCAAAAAAATATAGCGGCTAGGGGTCCGGGCGACGCCGCCCTACCCCAAGGATGCCGCCGGGGCTGCCCAGAGCCGCTAGGCTTAGTGAAAAGGTATGTGGCCCAATGGATGACGCTTGGTCTGCGCACAATAAGAAGACAGACTCTCAACGAACTCCCTGGACTGCTTGTGTATTGGAAGGAGCAATTGCCTGGTCAAACTTAACCGAATCGAGAAAACGCCACGAGTGCCCAAAGAGCTACCATCTTGACGTGAGAGCGGAGCTACATCCCCCAATGTAAAGCCCTCTCACAAAAAGTCCCATCCCCATCCATCTCAAAGCACTAGGTGGGGGTGCCCCTGGGACGAATGACCCGCGCCCTGAGTATGAGCGTGGGCGGGTCGAGCCAACTGGGGCCTGCAGCGGCGTCGACTTGGGCTCGAAAACCCTTCAGGGTACGGCCCCTACAACGACAGATAATGCTGGTTGTGCCGATGCAGTGACTGGTCATCGCAATTGCCACTGGGTCATCTGGTGAGATTATCTCTGTGGTTGGGGGCAACAATATTGAGGTACGTTACTCCCAACCTTATCTACCCTCTCCAACGCTTCTTACCGTGAGGTTGTGTGATCCAACTTGAGAGTCCTCTCATCGTGAGGTGTMGAGTGCGCTCAACCTTGAGAGTCGGMATAYTTCCTGTGGAGCATCAAGGGGAAGGGGGCGTTGCTTTCTGAAGGGCCCTGGACGAAGCACTGGGTCACGGTCACCATGCCAACCCACTGGGTGTAGTACACGCATGCTTCGCTGCAAGTCTTTGGTTCTGCTGCTTGCGCAGATAGAGGTTAACTCGGGTGTGGCAGCCTCTTGAGACGCTTACCAGACCGTCTATAAACATTTCTGGTTGGGGACTCGGCTGTGAATCTGGCTGTGATCGTCGTCCTGTTGCGATGTAAAATAATTCATGATGTCACTTGGGGGCGAACGTTAAATTGCCTCTTGATCAGCCAGATCAACCGAGTGTAAGGCTCGTCGGCGTAAGAGGATAAATGAGAGTGTTGTGGCTGCCTTTCTCGATGATAACCTGGGGCACAGGGGTGGGACCCGATTGCACACCTTCAGTCACGCATGCTACCCGATTGCTCAGGACGCTGTCGACAAGAGATACTCAAGTGTAGATTGGAGGGAGGGGTTGATTCCAGGTGACAAGTTTGAGAAAATACCATGCTGTCCTATCCACACAAGTGATTCTATTTTTATGTTTTGATTAGTTAAATGGACTGCCATTGACATCTGACAGACATCATTAGTTAGAACTGGTGCTTCTGTTTGCAGACTAGTCATACTAAAAATAGTTTCAGTTGTAGGAATCTGAATTATCTGCTGACCCCAAATGAGATTTGTTCCAAAAGTAGCCACCATTGATTAGTTGGTCTGTGCACTATGCTGCGGTAGGTATCTTGTATGATCTAGTGTACACGGTGCATAGTGTTGTAGCCTATGAGCGGCAGAGAGGACACCAGAGAGGACGACCGCAGGATCTTGCGATCAGTTCGAGGCCCGATAACTCACGTGTCCCTAGGACCGGAGGGTGATAGGGAACTGTTCCGCCGGCACAGTGAGAGGCAGCAGCAGAGGAGAGCTAGAGCAGCCGAGGCCAACAAGGCATTAGCTAGCAAGGCCGGTGCTACAGCAGCCATGGCTACCACAACCATGAGCACGTCTGCGCAGCAGACTTCCCAAGCCGGTAGTTCAGGTACCGCCGGGTCCACGGTCGCGCAGTCTGTGAGTCAGTCCACTGGCTTAATGGCAAGCCAGCCCGCAATGTTGACTCCAGAAGATGTCGCCATCCAGCAGGCAGCCCTGCAAGAGGCACAACTACAGCAGGCATTAGGACAGATAAAAAGAGAGAAGGAAATGATGATTAGAAGAAGAACTAGGATGCAACAAAGAGGGGCGGACATAGAGGAGTTAGAAACGATGGACCTGACGAACATGGATGATGACGTGAGGGTAGTTAGGAGGGCCCTGCTAGGGGTAATAGAGATGCAGGAGCATTAGACTACCATCCTTCATGAAATCCAGCAGAGCCTAGCCATTTTGGTAGGGCGTTCTCAGGCAGCGCCATCACCGGCAGGGCCGGGTGCCTGGCCTGTGCCATATCCTCGCTTTTCTGTCCCACCGGTCACTGGGGTATCCCCATTTGTAGCCCCGTCGATGGTTGTTGTCGTTCCCCTGGGCATGCCGCTCTCAGGAGGGCTATCAACAGGTCCTAGTGTTCAGGTTCCAGTACAGTCAGTGGTCACCCAGGTTCCGTCACAGGTTGTCATTAGTGGGCAATCTATTGTCTCGCAGTCTGTGCAGCCACAGGGCACACAGCCCCAGCAGCTAGCACAACAACCTGTATCACCGGGTCCACAGCCCGGGTTGGTGCAGGGACCGGGACAAAGTCAGTGGGTTGCAAAGACGGTCATCGCCGCTCCCAAACCCTTCATAGGGGACAAGAGAGGCGAAGACCTCGACACTTGGTTAAGTTCAGTGCCGGTCTATGTCAAGTGTAAACTCACCTTGCCACACGAAGAAGTGCTTGTGGCTGCATCCTACCTAGAGGGTAGTGCAGCAAGATGGTTGAGTGGGTTAGTACAACTCAAGGGGCATGGTCATGACTTCCGCTCTTGGGCAGCCTCTCAGAAATTGGAGGACTTCCTGAAGATGGTGGAAGAAAGATGGCATGATCCTCAGGAGGCCCAAAAGGCCACTGATGCGATCCTGACACTGCACACGAGGCAGTTTAAGTCAGTAAGGGAAGCCACAGATGCTGTAGAGCGTCTGATCTGTGTTCCAGGGGTGCGCTATGACCCCCAGGTCCTGTTGACTTCATACTTGAGGTGCTTATCACAGCCTCTCAGGAACCAGTTGGCAAAAGAGGCCAACATCAATATGCACAACTTTCCTTCGTTTAGCAAGGTAGCCCTAGACCTTGAAGCAAAAATAGGGCATGGACATAACTCAGTGACGGACGGGAAAAAGAAGACCTTGCCTCCTAACTGGAAAGCCAAGGGCCGCATTATGTTCGTCGACCACGATGGATCAACCATTGAGTTGGACGACGACTCCCAGTTAGGAGTAGGTGCAGAGGCAGGTGGCGATACTTCAGAGGGTAGAGTAGTCGCCGCCGTAACCCAACAAAAAGGTAAGGGGACCGGTAGACGCCGAGGGGGCTCCCGGTCTAGGAATCAAGTTGACCCCAATGCTCCTCCATGGGAGAAAGCGGGTCTTTCCGAGGACGTGAGGAGAGATAGGTGGAACCGTCAGGCCTGCATCCGTTGTGGTCAATACGACCATAACCAGTTCAAATGTAGGAACAAGAAGGTCGCCGATAAGATCCCGCCTACTATGGGGCAGGCGGTAGGATCCTCATCTCCCGCAGGTAGCAATGTTGCCAGTTCATCAGACACTGCTCCGGGAAACACGTAAGGCCAGTAGGAATAGTAGTTGTTCCTACTAGGGACGAGGTGGTGGAGACACCCTCGCCATCTCACATCATGGCCCAAGCTACTGATTCCCTTGTCGTCCCGCAAACGCATTCAGACCCATCAACCCTTTGCTCGATGAATGTGTTTGAGTCCTTAGAGGAGCTAGAGGAGGAGTGGTCTAGACTAGACCCGCTAGCTTCTTGGACGGCACTAGCTAAAGCCCCGAAGGGTGAGATGTTCGTTAGCGAGACAGTCGTAGGCGGCCGCAAGGCCGGGGCCTATTATGACACTTGCTCGACACGGAACTTTATTAGCCGCGTGTGCGTTGAGAGGCTGCGTTTACAGGGGCAAGTGCAGCGCCTGAGTCGACCTGTGGAGTCGACCTGTGCCAACAAACAGCGCATGGTAGTCAATGACTACCTTCAGGATGTAGAATGCCTGTTCCCGTTCGCGGGAGGAGAATCGAGGCATCGTGTCTTATTCCTAGTGAGCGACGATCTCCCTATGGATATCTTGTTAGGTATGTACTACCTCTCTGTGGCACAACCTCAGTTTGACTGGGACCGAAAAGTGGTCAAGCACACTTTGCCAGGTGGAGGGACCGCCAGATTACACAAGTTCAAAGCTAGTAGTCTGATCGATTCCCATGGATGCATGTGTGCGGCCGCGTTCTACAACTACTATAAGCAACATCAGGAGGAGGGTATGTACTTAGTTTATGTCTCTGCTGCAGGCGAGCCGGTGAAAATGCCGCCGGAGATGGAGGGAGTAGTTGCCAAGAACCCTGATCTATTTGAAGAGCCAACAGGGGTTGTTGATAGGGAGGTCGTCCACGCGATAGAAATTATCCCTGAGTTTAGTATTCCGAAGGGTAGGATCTATCGGATGTCTCCAGGCGAGCTTGATGAGCTTCGCCGCCAACTCAAGGAACTCATAGAGAAGGGTTGGGTCCGGCCGAGTGTTTCTCCTTACGGATCTCCAGTACTATTCGTACCTAAGAAGAAGGAGGGCACTCTCAGGATGTGCATTGACTATAGGGGCCTCAATGCCATTACTGTGAAGAACAGAGAGCCCCTACCGCGCATCGACGATCTATTAGATAGAGTGCAAGGGTGTAGGGACTTCAGTAAGATAGTTCTGAAGTCCGGGTACCATCAGATTGCAATCCGGCCCGAGGATCAACACAAAACCGCATTGGTATGGTCTGTACGAGTTTGTGGTGACGCCTAATGCTCCTGGCACCTTTCAGCACGCTATGAATCGGATATTCCATGACTACCTGGATAAGTTTGTCGTCGTGTACCTCGATGACATACTTATTTTAGTAAGACTTTCGAGGAGCACGTTGCACACTAAGACAAAGTTCTCAGTCTCCTGCGACAGCACAAGTTCAAGATCAACGATGAAAAGTGCGAGTTTGGCCGCACCCGTATCTTGTACTTGGGTCATGAGATCTCCGCGAAAGGGTTGAAGCCCGATGACGCGAAGGTGGCCAGCATTCGTGATTGGCCACGACCTCAGTCTGTGACTGAGATGAGATCTTTTTTAGGAATGACCGGTTACTATAGGACTTTCGTTAAGAACTATAGCATAGTGACCGCTCCTTTGACTGATCTGACTCGCCTTGACACCCCGTGGGAGTGGACAGATAAGTGCGAGGCTGCTTTCAGACATCTGAAGCATGCACTAACGCATTATGAAGTCTTGAAACTTCCCGATCCTGATAAGCCATTTATAGTAACCACGGATGCTAGCCAATATGGCATTGGCGCCGTGCTTGTGCAGCAGGAGGGGCCAAAGTTGAGGCCTGTTGAGTACCTGTCCAAGAAAATGCCGTCTCAGAAGTTGGCTAAGTCCACCTATGAGAAAGAACTCTATGCGGTGTTCAAGGCACTAACCCATTGGAGACACTATCTCCTTGAGAGGTTCTTCATCCTCAGGACTGATCATCAGACCTTGAGATGGATGAGAACTCAGCCTGTACTCTCTGACGCATTGAAGCGTTGGATAGAAGTCATTGAGCGGTATGACTTTGACCCTCAGTACATTAAGGGTGAGTACAACAAGGTTGCTGATGCCTTGTCGCGTAGACCTGACTTCTCAGGTGCGCTGATTACTGAGTACGATCTTACGGATGATGTCACTCGATCCTTGGTGGAAGCCTATCGAGAGGAGCAGTTCATGTCTGAGATCATACCCAGACTCGAGGCGAAGGATAAACAAACTTCAGCCGAGTTTGAGTTAGTCAATGGCTTGCTGTTTCTCGAGAAGGAAGGGAATAAACGTTTGTTTGTCCCTGATAAAGAGTCTTTGCGTAGTTTGTTTTTAGGCGAGTGTCATGACGCCACCGGCCATTCTGGGTACAAGAAGACCGCAACCAATTTGCTGCAAAGGTTTTGGTGGCCCACGATGTTAAAAGATGCTAAGCTGTACGTGGAAACTTGTCAAGTTTGCCAACGAGACAAGCCCCGTACTCAGGCTCCTCTTGGGCTGCTCAAGCCCCTTCCGATTCCGGAAAGGCCGGGTGAAAGCTTGTCCATGGACTTCATGGATACCCTGGTCACCAGCAAGAGTGGGATGAGGCAGATCTTCGTCATCGTGGATAGGTTTAGTAAGTATGCTAGGTTAATAGCCATGCCAGAAACAGCGAAGACCGAGTATGTAATCAGGCTGTTCAAAGAGAACTGGGTGAGGGATTTTGGATTGCCAAAGTCTATTGTAAGTGACAGGGATGTCCGATTTACAAGTGAGTTATGGAAGGCCGCTGCAGCTGAACAGGGAACTCAACTACAAATGACTTATGGAAACCATCCAGAAGCAAACGGCCAGGCTGAACAAATGAATCGCGTTGTTCAACACCTGTTGAGGCATTACATTAAGCCCAATCAGGTGGACTGGGACGAGAAGCTTGCTCTTGTCGCCAGTCTGTACAATAATGCTGTACACAGTGCTACAGGGGTAAGTCCTAACAGTCTACATCTTACCTTTAGGCCTAGACTGCCTTTAGACTTCCTACTTCCTGATAACCAGCCAACGGTTGCACCGGGCACTTTGGAGTTCGCTTATCGTTACGAACAGAAAATGCAGGAGGCTGTATAGCACATGCAGAAGGCGCAGGCAGCAATGATAGAATCTGAGAATAAACACCGCCGCCCTTCTACATTTGAGGTTGGGGACAGAGTCTGGGTCAAGTCTTCAGAACTGGGACAGGAGTTCGGGATATCCCGCAAACTCATGCCTCAGTACTTTGGACCTTGGGAAGTTTTAGACGTAGTAGGGACAGATCCTGATGGTCCATCTTATGTCATCCGTATCCCTGGTCATCTCATAACTTACCCAGTCTTTCACGCCTCTAAGCTCGCTGCGTCCAAGGAAACTGATCAGTTTCCCTCTCGTCGTTCAATGCTGCCCCCAACCATGGACGGAGAAGTCGACATCGATGATATCGTCGACCACAGGGAGATGAGACGTCCTCCAAAGCCAAAGCTGCAGTTTCGTGTCCACTTCAGACATCACACGGATCCGAAGGAGGACCGCTGGTTTACTCGGGAGGAATTGATGCAAACCGCTCCTCAAATCGTTGCCCGCTATGAGAAGGATGTATTGAAAGGAAAGCGCCAGATGGCTCAGGATTGATCTTCTCAGAGGACTAATGAAGATATGGAGGGAATGCGAGTCTACGCCCGCTCAGCCCTTTTTGGGGCCCTTTGTTTTTGGCAGCACGTCGGGCGCCCTAAGTAAAGGCAGGCGCGACAGACCCTCAGGGCCTCGATTTTCAGGGTACCCCGCAACTGGGGAAATTCAGACAGTTGCGCTGCGCCAGTTGGTTGAAGGTGCCCAGGCCCAGGCCATATTTTGCAAATGTATCTGAACGGTGACCTGGGCCAGACGCATGCGGAAGGCCGTAAGCAGGCCAAGGGCAGTTGGGCACATGCAACCATCAGGCCCTGGGCCTGCGTGTGAGGTCTGGGCCTGTGCCTACCAGGGCCTACCAAAATCTTCTTGGGAAAGGCCAGACGCAGCCTGAGCAGAATACGGGCAGGCCACTTCCATATAGTAAGAGGCCTGCCTCCTCATTTGGCATTCGGGTGCTGGCTGCATGCTGCGCAAGCGCTGCTGCGCTATTTGCTGGCTGGCTGGCACTCATGCTCTCACGGGCGAGCAGGAAGGAGCGGGCAGCCATAGCCGAGATGCTCCGCTGTGAGCTAGGTGTGGCGCAGGGTGGTCCTTGGGTGCTAGTGGCATCTGTGTGGTGTGGATCGGGGTTGTGAGTGTTGCGAGAGACATACCTGGTGCTGGAAGCGTGCGACATTGTCCGCTGTATGCTCGTACTTCAGAAAGCTGTTGTTGTCAACATCGACATTGTAGTATTAGGCTAGATAGGATCTGCCACATGTAGTCTGGGCGCCGAGCGCCAATAGGACATCAACTCTTGTTCTTCGTTGATGATGATGAGAGACTATTTCAGCATTGTCAATTACAAACTATTGGTGTGTTCTTATTTGGTGAATTTCGTGATGCATTTTTGTTGTTGGTTCGAGGTCAAGACTATCTGGGCTCATAGGTATGATGCTGGATGGAGTTCGCTAATGCTCATCTTCCTTGCATGAGGAGGTTTTTTCATTCACTCAAATGCATTAGTGAAACAAATCCTCATTTCTTGAACAATATTTTTAAGACCACTCATTGATCTACCTGCTCCTAACGCTCTAATAACACGAACTGAGATAGTTCTAACATACCCCCCACACAACTATTTTGTTATGATTCATCTCTAAACCACCCATATCCCCGGTTTGTAACCCATGTTTGCACTATCATGCTTGGCATTGCGGGGTAATCCGGATGGATAGTATCCAGATTGCCCCAATGATTGCACTATCATGCTTGGCATTGAGGGGTAATCAAGTGCGCAAAATCTTTGGCGCACAAAGTTCGCCTAATTAAGAATAGCGTTACTTGGAGTGATTGAATGGCGCAGGATGAAGTGACACAACGGAGATAGAAAAAAAAAAAAAAAGCTTCGACAAACCGATAACCAAGTCAAAACCAGACACGATTGAATAACTGATCAATCTTACTTTACTTTTGAATAACATGGAGGATATCATTTGAAATTGTCATTGATGTGGAGATATATCAGGTCTAATTTCTTTGACATACTGTTTTTTTCATTTGAGGGACTCCGATTACTTGAGGTTTCACGCTTGGTTGACACCGTCCTGATCGACCGACGTCTGTTTCGTACTTAGGAGATCAGCTCCCTAAGGAACGGACGACGATTGAGTCCACTTGATGTTAATTAAGCATACCTATACTGCAGCGGACGAGCAAACGCCCTCGGTTGACCTATCTTTGCGACTGCATGTAAAAACCTTCGCATGTGGGTCAGTAGCTCGGTAGGGATACGCCCCTGAGGGTGGTGACAACCCCTTAGGGAAAGCAAGATGTGCCCCGCGGAAACCTATCATGTCGTAGGGGACCGCGGGAAGTACAGCTGGCGCACCCGGCTAGAGCGGTGAAGGGACGACACTACCGTGATCGTCTCGGTGACTCACTGTATTATGTTGCGTTGTTTCCGAGTTGTATGTTATTTTTGTTTAGTTGACTCCTGCGTGACATTGTCGGGAGGGCTCCCACACTTTGCGAAAAGGCGGGAGCCGATACGCTCGACAGGTAGCGCTATTGTCGGGTATAACGACAAACTACCGTTGTCCCTAGCGGAACAACACTTGGGTGATTGATGGAATGAAAAGTTACCCTCTTTTTTGTTTGGCTTTAGGAAAAAATCAGTAATTTGATCCCAAAGGTAAAAGAAAGAAAGAAGAAAGAAAAATTATGAGAATTATTATTTGAAATTTTCAGAGAGGTTGACTGATTTCTGGGAATGTGTTCTTGTGATAAGGTCATTGAAGATTGTTGAGGAAGCACATCCGGTCCCTAACAACAACAACAACAACCAGGACGAGAGGAGGAATGATATTCGAGAACTTGCCAGAATCATTCAACGGTTTCAGAAGGAATAATTCCCGAAGGTCGAAGTTCCATTATTTGACGGCAACAATGCCTCGGGATGGGCGAATAAGTTTGAATAGCTGGGGAGCTGTTACGAGTGGTCAAATGAAAAGATGATGCGAATGGTGAAAAGGTATTGCAAGGTGGAATATAAGGACGAAGTGGAAGAATTGGTGCTGGATTTGCAGGATTGGCCGGAATTCAATGGAAAATTATTGGAGAAATATCAATTGGGTGACCAATTGTTACATTTGGCGGATCTGCAAAAGGTTAGTCGGCGAAGGCACAACGAAACAATTCTTGCTGGAGTTCGAGCGGGTGGCACGACTGGTTCCTGACCTTCCAGATAAGGATCGTTGTCGTATCTTTTTGGACAACTTCTCAGAGGTGGAGCAGCCAAAGTTGGTTAAGGGGATGTAGGGGCGGTATGACTGGCCCAAGATTCGGGAAAACTTGTTGGCAGGAAATTTTGACCAGATCCTGTACCAGTTGTTGAAGCAGCAGAACAGTGCTTGCAATCTTTGTGTATGTTGTGAACTGGATCCGACCCAAATCTGGTTTGCAAAAAGAACTACAACTGTACCCAACCCCAACTACAATAAAAGATTCTGGCCAGTTGTCCAAACTGGATAGCGGGTTTTTGCAAATTTTCCAAACTGCACCTGGCCCGACCGGCAACCTGAAAAAATGTTGAACTACACCCAGTCGGACCAGGACCCAACTTTATGCCATTCTGGCTGCCCAGACCCACCGTGAACTGCCATGGGCCACCTTTTTCCTTTTTAAATATGAAATATCAATATGACCTTTTTTTTTTTACTACCTTGGCTCCCCCATTGATTTTTTGTTTTTCAAGTAAACTCAAACATCATTGAGGAAGGCATTCATCATAAAAATGAGCAGTCCGAGATAGTGGTCTTACCCATGGATGTTTTCATATTGTAAAAAAAATAAAAATTGCAGATTTTTCAACTTCACCCAACTTCACTTATCTCCACTGTCAAGACTTTGTGTGCGTACACCAGCAAGGCACGCCCCTGTTTCTGCGACTCGTGTCCCGCCAGTTTGCTGCCGGCCCACTCAGGGGCTTCACAACTTCAAAGTTTGTCTGCCTACTGCCCCAAGGCTATTTCCCGCTCCAATGACATTGAATTGACACTCCAGAATCTCACTTGTATCCCCCATGGAACCGAAGTGACAGACTCCAACATGTTGCTGCCACTCTGGAACAACCTTCTGCAGGTTTTCATTTGGTCAAGGTAAATTGAGATTTTCTTTTTGTTCCAGTCTTGCGTATTTTTCATTCAGCCCCGCATGGGCAGCGACGAAGGGCGAACGGTTGGGTGGAAAATATGAATGTATATACTCCGGGCCTAAACTCATGCATATATAAAACATTATACATACATATACATACACACACACACACACACACACATAGATATATATTTGCATGAGCCCTACACGCCTGACCCGACAAATTCCGCAGCCAGCTGGCCGGGCCATGCCACCACCTGGCTGAACCCCAGCTGCGCATGCATGTCCCAAATCTGCCCTTGGACAGCTGGCTGCGGAATTTGTCGGAAGACATCGTCAGCGACCGAGACACTCGCTTCATGTCGGCATTTTGGACTGCTCTCATGCAGGAATCCGGCACGAAGATGAAACCAAGTTCGGCTCGGCATCCACAAACAGACGGGCAAACGGAGCCGGCACATCAAACCGCTCAAATGATGCTTCGTACGCGCATCCGCCCGGATCATAAGGATTGGGTTGACCACCTCCCCGACATCGAGTTCGCCTACAACACTTCGTTACATCCGGCAATCGGCGTGACTCCATTCGAGTTGCACCACGGTGGTCGGAAATTCTCCTCCCACGAACAGCCGATATAGACGCTGCTTGCTCCCCCGCTTTCGTCCGGAAGTACAGGGAATTGCTGGCTCAAGCCCGCACGAACATGCAAAAGGCTCAAGTCCGCATGTAGCAGCAAACCAACAGGCATCGTGTGGTATGTCCCATCCGCGCCGGTGATCTGGTGTGGGTCTCCGCGGAAGAGTTTGCACATGAACAGGATGTTTCACGCTAACTGCTTCCCAAGTGGTTTGGACCATGGCCCGTAACATCAGCCGCGCGCGATGAGCCCGATGGTCCCTCATTTGTGATCAACATCCCCCCCCATCTAACGGTCCATCCAGTCTTTCACGCCTTGAAGCTGGTAACATATAAACCAGCTAAGAGCGACGACTTCCCGGGCCGACGATCGCAGGACCCTCCATCTATGGATGGTCATCAGGAAGTTGACCGCGTCATCACGGATCGCAAGTACGGCAGCAAGCCTCAACAGTACAAAGTTACATTCAAAGCATGCGATCCCGACGACACTCAGTGGATTTCAGGAACAGATTTGAAAGCATCCGCACCGCTGATCTATGCTCACTACAAGCAACAAAGGTTAGCTCAGGGAACTTCACGACCTGCCCCTCCCACCCGGACTGTGGTCCCTCCCTCAGACAGACAGCTTCGCCCTCGCAGGTAAGCTTGGTCTTTCAAGGAGGGGGGCGTGTGGCATATTGCGCAGCCACACGGGCCTGCAGGGCCCGTCCCCGGGTCTCAGCCTAAAAGCCTAGAAACAAGGGCTTACAGGCCCCCTGTCGTTTCAGCCTGAAAGCCTGAAACGAGGGCCTGCAGGCCCTATGTCTAAAACAGGGCCTTCCAGGCCCTGAGTCTTTTCAGCCTGA